GAGAGAGAGAGAGAGAGGATATTTGGACATGGGTATACACCTTGCTGCAACTATACTCATTGACCTGGTGAAGCATATACGGGGCAAAATTATGAAAACTTCTGCGACATAATCAGACATCTTTGGGAAATGAGTCTCTAGGCTTATGGGGTCAAGTTCATCGTCTCAGTGGCCCAAGAAAATTAATTGACATAACTAGTCCACGCACTCTACATCCTATGTTGGTACGTAAGTAGTGACTAGGGTCTTTAAAGCTTGTGAGTGAAAAACAAACTAGCTTGTGAGTGGTCTCTCCCTGCCTGGAGAAAAGAAGAATGATGAAACTGGAAAGACACATGGGAACAATTAGTCCAACAGATTATATCAACATTAATCTCCACCACCCTGAGACCAAAAGAACTAGATGATGCCTGGCTATCCCTACAAACTGCGCTGAAAGGGAATCACATCAGAAGGTCCTAGATAGGGAGAAAGATATGGGAAAAAATTCAAAATTATAAAAAAGACTGGCTGACTGGTTGGAGAGAGACTGGTCACATCCCCCAAGGCTATGCCTCCTGGTTACTCTTCGTGTCTGGAACGGAACTCGCCTTGCAGCTCAGTTTTCAGTTAAACAATAGATGAATGATGAGAATCATCACACCATTGATAGAGTACACCTTGGAACAATCCACCATTTGGGGTACCAGGGACAGCATTTACCCAAGGATAGCATTCAGGAAGGTTAGGAAAGAATAGAGAGAGTAGACTTTGGGAAGAGGTGGGATGGGGGATAGTAAATTGAAGCAATGCATGAGATGAAATAGAAGGAGTATGAATTTTTTCATGTAAAATGGATGATCTTTTCTGTAAACCGTCACCCAACTTATCATACAAAGTAAAAATAAGATGTTTTTAATCAACAGAGAGAGATTAAACAAAATTATAAATTAAAAAACTGTTGTTATGAGTTGCTGTTATTTTGATTATCATCATCAATGTTTTCACTGACAGTATTTTTGCAGAATACATTGTGATAGATAGATGTAAGATATAATGATTTACAACCTTGTTTCTTGATAATTAGATGGCCTATTTTAAATTTAAATTTGTAGAATGAAGATATTTCATTTTAAAACACTATCCCTGAAATGGCAATGTTTACCAATGGTTATTCTTCCTTATCCCACAGATTTTTTTTTCCAATGGAAATTGTAACCCACCCTTTTGTGTGTTTGCACTGAACAGTATCTTATTTTTAAATTTGGGAGTGAAAGTAATTTCCCTGAATCATTTTCATTATAGACAGTAATAATTTTCTTCTAATTCTTAAACAAAATCACCATAAATAAACATTACATTATACTTCTGGTATAAAAGTTCATTACAATTTAAGGGGGTATTAGAGTTTAAATAACATAAATTATCAAGCTTGGTATTATTTGAAATTTATTTGATTTTATGAGGTAAAATTTCACAAGGTGTTCTAAGAATATAATTATCTTACAACCATGGAATCGATACTACCAATAATACCTTAATACAATAGCTGACTGGGGGTGGGTGGGGTGCAAGTTTATGCAATAACTTGTCTTTGCTTATCTTTTTCTCTCCCACTTCTTGAATTTCTCTCCCATTTCACTACAAGGAGAAAGGAATAGAAACAAATGTCTTTCTTTTAAAAAGTTTTATTGGCACTTAATCCTCGTCTCACACAATTCAATAGTTCAATCATATCAAGAAGAGTTGTACAATCATCACCACAATCAATTTTAGAACATTTTCTCTCCCCAACTCCCAGGGTTAAATCATTTTTTAAATGAATTGTGTAATCACCATCAGTTCAAATGTTACCTTCCTCCTCCCACATACTTTGTTTGCTCCCCCAACTCCATCACCCTCTTTATCTCCTACCCCCAACTACCTCCCCTATAAACCTTTGCAACAGTTCTTATTTCTATGTATCTTATTTCTTATTTCTATGTGCTTCCCAAACTGGAGCACCCAATGGAAACAATAAAAAACAAAAACAAAAAGCAGTGATAAGGATAAGATAATAATATAGATAAAAAATATAAATAATGAGTAAGAAAGAAATGAATATTCAAAAGGCCAAGAGGGAAATTTTTGTCATGGAACAAGCAAGAAATACTTATACCTAGGGCAATTTCAGGTTGGGTCAAGAGGGAGGTCAACTGACCAACTATCAAGTTCAATCCAGTATACTCATAATCATGATTACAATGATCTCTTAACAGTTGTCTTTAAGTAGATAAAACCAAGCCAAATACTTTGCTACTAAGTCTATTCCTACTTGGGAAGAATGGGAATCCCAGAACACTTCATTGTGCTCATGCAGAACTTGTACATGGATCAAGAGGCAGTTGTAGGAACAAAACAAGGGAATACTGCATGGTTTAAAATCAGGAGAGTTGTGTGTCAGGGTTGTAAACCCTTACCTTATTCAATATGTATGCGGAGCAAATAATAAGAAAAGGTGGATTCTATGAAGAAAATGTGGCATCAGGATTGGAGGAGGACTTTTTAACAGACTTATGTGCAGATGATACAATCTTGCTTACCAAAAGAGAGGAGGACTTGAAGCACTTGCTGATGAAGACCAAGAACTGCAGCTTTCAGAATGTAATACAACTAAATGTAAAGCAAACCCAAACCATCACAACCAGACCAACAGGTAACTTCAAGATAAATGGAGAAATGATACAAGTTGTCAAGAGAGTAGGGACAGATAGGTAGAGGAGGGGAGGAAGGGGGAACCAATCATGATGATTGACACATAACTGCTGGCCCCTCCCCAGGACGAACAACAGAAACCATGGGGGAAGGGAGACAGCAGTTGGTGTCAGATATGAAAATAATAATTTATAATTTATCAAAAGGCCATGAGGGTGGGGTGGGGGAGGGGGGAAGAATAGCTGACCCCAAGGGCTCCATAGAAAGTAAATGTCTAGAAAATAATGATGGCAACATATGTACAAATATCCTTGATACAATTGATGTATGGAGTGTTATAAGAGCTGTAAGAGCCCTCAATAAAATTTGGCTATCTTTGAGGGTATTAGGTGGTATCTCAAAGTTGTTTTAATTTGCATTTCTCTTATGGCTAATGATCAGGAACATTTTCTCGTATGTTTATTGGACATTCCGATTTCAGACTCTGTGAAACTTCTGTTCAGGTCCTTTGCCCACCTCCTCAGTGGGCAGGTAGTTTTTCTCTTATGGTAAGCTAGCAGATTTTTAGTAATAATGCCTTTGTCTGATGTGTCATTGCTAAAGATATTTTCCTAGTCGGTGGGCTCTCTTATTACTCTCTTGATGAATTCTTTTGATGTACACAGGTGACTTATCTTCAGTATATCCAACTTGTCTATGTGTGACTCCTCTGTATTTGTATCCTTCCTTATTTCCGATAGCCTATGTATTCCTTGTACCAAGGTTCTCAAGTTTGTCCCAATTCCCTCATTAATGGCCAATAGTTTGGGGTTTTATCTTAAGGTCGGTGATCCATCTAGGGTTTATTCTTGTGCATGGAGTGAGGTGAGGGTCTTGCTTCATTTTTCTGCAGGTAGATAACCCATTTTTACCAGCACCATTTATTGAAGATGGCATCTGCTTCCGATTTTATAATTTTGGGCCCTTATCAAAGAGCAGTTGCCTGTATGCTGATGCTTTTATATCTGGGATTTCAGCTCTTTTCCACTGGTCTGAATATCTGTCGTTATACCAGTACCACACTGTTTTGACTACTGTGGCCATGTAATAAGCGCTAAAGTCAAGTAGAGCAAGCCTTCCCACTTTGTATTTCTTCTTGAGGAGTTATCTGCTAATACTGGGCTTCTTCCCCCTCCATATGAAGTTGATAATCAGTTTTTCCAATTCTTTGAAGAAGGATGGTGGTATTTGTATCGGGATAACATTGAACTTATATAGTGCCTTGGGCAGAACTGACATCTTTACTATATTGAGTCTTCCAATCCATGAGCATGGGATATTCTTTCATTTGTTGAGGTCACTCTTGGTTTCTTGTAGTAGTGTTTTATAATTTTCCTCGTACAAATCTTTCATTTTTTTTAGTCAGGTATATCCCTAGATATTTCAATTTGTACTTGGATATTGTAAAGGGTACTACCTTTTTAATGGTCTCTTCTGTGATCTTGCCTGATGTATAGAGCAGACTGATAGACTTCTGTTTGTTGATCTTGTATCCTGCCACTCTGCCCTATTCCTCTATTGCTTCCAGCACTCTACTTATGGAGTTTAGGGGATTTTTGATGTATGGAATTATATCGTCTGCAAATAAGGATAGCTTTGCCTCTTCCTTCCCTAGATAATACCTTTGATGGCTTTTCTTTGTCTTATGTTGTTAGCTAGGACCTCCAGTATGATGTTAAATAGGAGTGGGGACAAAGAGCATCCTTGTCTGGTCCCCTTTTTCAGTGGAATTGTTTTAGTCTTTTCTCCATTGACTACCACACTGACTGTTGTTTTTTTATATATAGTTTGTATAACATTGAGTAATTTTCCTTCTATTTCTATCTTCTTGAGTGTCTTAAACAGGAATGCATGTTGGATGTTGTCGAATGCTCTTTCCGCATCTATTGATGTTATCATGTGGTTCTTATCATTTTTCCTGCTAATGTGGCGAATGACACTGATGGTCTTTCATATGTTGAACCATCCCTGCATCCCTGATATGAATCCCTCTTGGTCATGGTGAATTATTTTTTTTATATGCTTTTGTATTCTATTGGCCAGTATTTTTTTAAAGGATTTTTGCATTGATGTTCATTAGGGATATTGGTCTGTAGTTCGTAATTATTGTAGGATCTTTGCCTACTTTAGATATCAGAGTTAT